ACTGGATCTCAATTTAAAAATTGTTTTTAGTAATATATTTTAAAATTAGTGGTAACTACCGACTAAATATTTAATTCAATCTAAAATATTATTAATATATATATATATATATATTATTTACATATTTGAAAATATTGGAAACTCATTTTTAGAATTTTTTTTTATCACAGAATCTAAAAATAGTTTTAAAAAATAAATATGTGAAATAAATATTCGTTGAATCCATTTAATTAAAAAGGGAAAATTATCAGATTCATCTTTCATTTTAGATGGATAACAAAATCTGGTAGAGGACAAATTATTTGTACTTGTACTCCATAAAACGCAGTAAAATTCAATTATGTATCATTAATTTTAACTCTATAACTTCAATTCAACAAATAATATCTCAAAACTCAATTGTCGACTCACGTGACATTACTAGGCCTCTCAACAATATAGAGCTAGAAGTTTTTTTTATAAAGAATGACAAAGATAAATATGTATCACATCCTGAAATTTATTCCATTATTAGTAAATAATTTGTTATATATTAAATTTGTATTACTTCCCACTAACACCAACGACATCCACCACACATATTGTACTGAAAAAAATAATGATATCAAGAAAGTTTTGATGAAGGATTAGAACACTAATATTTTATCATATTTAATGTGAATGTAATTATTTGAGGAGGGTTAATATTCTTAATTAATTAATAAAACAGTTGGGAAAATTATTAAAAAAAAAATTAATGAAGGTGTCATAGAAGAAAAAGAGGCTAAGATAAGGTGCTTTTAATTCATATTTGACAAGATTTTACAACCAATCAAATGCTGCTGATTGGTTGAGAGGAGGAGACATATCAGCCGTTGGATGTTTAATTAAACCCTAATGGGAAAAACAGTTGCCTTTGGGGAACAAATCGTTGAGTGCCTCCTCAACTCCTAATTAAAGTTGCCCTTTAAATTAATCACACCCAATGCTCTTTTTCTTCGTTACATTTTTCCCGTCTTATTCACGTTCCATTTTCAATTTAATGTTTGATTTAAATATTAGCTGTACTTGATCAGCCATTTGTACGTTCCGTAATAATTCTTTTTTTTTTATTATTATTATTTTTCATTTTCAAGAAACGTTTCTCAAATTATAT